GCGAGTCCGCATCCAGGCCGGTCGCGCATGACAAGGTTGGAGCCATGGTGGGGCTGTGCACATCCTGCCACCGCTGGTGAGCTCCTCCAAGCCATCCGCATGTTCACTTGGCGACATCCACCTTCGTTTCACGTGGCAAGCGTGGCACTTGGAGGCATCTACTTTGGTTTTGCGTGGCAGGCGTGGCACTTATGGTACTGGGCTGGCTCTGGTGGCGTGCTTGGGCGGGCTTGGTCGCCGGTGACGCCGCGGCACTTTGCGTGGCAGGTGTCTTCGCTTTGCGTGGCAGGCGTGGCACTTGGTGACATCCACCTTCATCTTGCGTGGCAGCCGCGGCACTCTGCTTGGCAGGTGTGGCACAACGCAATATTCACCGTCGTTCTGCGTGGCAGGCGTGGCACTTGGAGACATTCATTTGCTATTTGCGTGGCAGGTGTGGCACTTGGAGACATCTAACGGCATGCCATTTGCATGGCAGGCGTGCACTTGGAGACATCCACTTGACCAAGCCCGCCCAAGCGCGCCACCAGAGCCAGCCCAGTGCCATAAGTGCCACGCCTACCACGCAAAACCAAGGTAGAAAGGTAGATGCCTACAAGTGCCACGCCTGCCACGCAAAACCAAGGTAGATGCCTCCAAGTGCCACGCCTGCCACGTGAAACGAAGGTGGATGTCGCCAAGTACCACGCCTGCCACACAAAAAGATGGTGTAAAAGATGGTGTATGACAACGTTGTGTGTGCCACGCCTGCGACGCAAAACCAATCCACCTTCATCTTGCGTGGCAGCCGCGGCACTCTGCTTGGCAGGTGTGGCACAACGCAACTCTCACCGTCGTTTTGCGTGGCAGGTGTGGCACTTGGAGACATTCATCTGCTATTTGCGTGGCAGGTGTGGCACTTGGAGACATCCAATGGCATGCCATTTGCGTGGCAGGCGTGCACTTGGAGACATCCACTTTGGTTTTGCGTCGCAGGCGTGGCACACACGACGTTGTCATACACCATCTTTTTGCGTGGCAGGCGTGGCACTTGGAGACATTCATCTGCGATTTGCGTGGCAGGTGTGGCACTTGGTGACATCGACCTGCTGTTTGTATGGTAGCGCACGGCATCACGCACTATCTTTCGCTGACAATTGTGTCACACACACACACAACTTGTCACACACCATCTTTAGCGCAATGCATGCGTCTAGCTTTTTGCGTGCAAACTATCACATTCCACTTTGTCACACACAACTGTTTTAACTTCTCGATCCTTCACCACCTCCTTTGTCTTTCCTTCCTTCCCCGTCCCCGCTACAACCTTTGACCTTTGATGCTCATTATTGGACGAGGTTGACTTGTGGGGTTATCCGGTCCTTTAATTGAACTTTGCAGTCCTCAGGAGTGGAAGAGGATGCAGTTGTGGTGGACTGCTCCGCTGTGGAATCCTTCTCAGCATCATCTCCGACCAGGTCCATGGTCTCCACATTGCCTTGGCTGTTGCCTTTGCCAAGGCCAGCCAGGGTCAGCCAAGGTAGCATCATCGCCATAGATGTCAGCACCAGGAAGAACACCAAGGGCACCACTGCATTCAAGGTGCCATAGGTCATCCAGGCCATATGTCCACAGAAACGCTAAACCCCATTGCGAGGCTTTGCGGCAGTCAAATCCACAACACTCCATACCATCACCCCCAGCGTTCACGGAGTATATAGGCGATGTGTGAGAGTTGTGTCTGAGCAAATTGTGTGTGAGTAAGTGTGTGTGTGTGTGTCTTTGAAAACTTCCCCTCCGTGCCTGTGCCGGCGGCGGTGGTGGTGGTGCACCAACCGACTCGGTTGCGCTCCGGTCGGCGGGCGGGGCCCACTCGCCAAACGCAGAGGCATTTCTATGCATTTGGTGGAGCCTGTGTGCCTCCCAGTTCCAATGCATACCACCCTTCAAGCGCCACCATCAGCATCATAGCCATAGGCGGCGGGACCAGCACGAATGAAGTCCGGAGCATCGGCAGCATCCATCAAACCTGGAGCAGTTCCATCAGCATCACCGACATGAGCATTGGCATCATCAGTCTCCATAAGAGGTATTGCCAGGGGCAGCAGCGCCTAAATTTCACAAAAAAAACAATAAAGTTTGCAACTGCGCAAGAATTTTAAAAAAAACGGCAGGCCCATAATGGCCCATATGAAAAAAACACATGGCAGTCAAATGCACTCAAACAGACTCAGATTCAATCAGCTGCAATCAAGGCAATCAAGTCCAGACAACGAAGAATAAAAGGATCACTTTAGACCACAGTGAAAAGCATCACTTTAGACCACAGCCATTTTGGATAGCTTTAGAACACAATCTGAAACATCACTTCAGAACACATCTGATGTCTGTACCAAAAAAAGACGCCAATGATAAATTTACCGCTTACATCATGTATTCCACTGCAATGGCTCTTACTCTCCGACCTTGGAACTCACTATGCCCAATTACCTAGCAATTCAGTGTTTATTTGGGGGGGAGGGGGGTGGGAATCAAAACCAGCCACTTAGGGTTTGTTTGGGAGAGGGAACATTCTACTTACATCATGTCACATCATGATTTCAGTTTTCTTTCAAAGGTTGGAACGACTCATTCCACTCCAAGGGCTCTTACTCCTCTCTTGCTTTGGGCATCCTTATGCTCTCAGCAGCCATTTAGGGTTTATTTGGGGGAGGGGGGGCTCAGAATCAGACATTTACAGAACCAGCCATTTAGGGTTTTGGGGGGAGATTCTACTTACATAATGATTTCAGCTTTCTTTCAAAGCTTGGAACGACTCATTCCACTCCAAGGACTCTTACTCATCTCGTGCTTTGGGCATCCTTATGCTCATAGCAGCCATTTAGGGTTCATTTGGGGGAGGGGGTTCAGAATGGGGGGGTTGGTGGGGTTTCAGAAGAAGCCATTTAGGGTTTATTTGGGGGTAAACATACTACTTACATCATCATGTCAGCTGTCTGTCAAAGTTTGGACTGACTCAGCCCACTCTAAGGGCTCTTACTCGTCTTGTGCCTTGGGCATCCTTCCCGGAATAACTTCCGCCAAGCGGAGGCCGACAGGACAGAAAAGGACAGCAAGCGAGGTCCCAGCACAACTGAGAGCGAGGAAGGGAACCCCGGCAAGCAGCATGGCAAGACAAGACAACGGACAGAGGAGAGAAGCAAGCCAACCCCAAAAACCCACAAGGAGGCAGGACAGCAAAAGCCTGAACTACCCCCACCTTCCCGGTAGTTGATGATGATGATGATGATGGTGGTGGTGATGATGGTGATGATGATGATGATGATGACGGTGATGATGTCTATATATTGTTGTTGATGCTGGTGATGATGTTCATGATGATCATGATCATGAAAATACAAATAAAAAATGGTGACCAAGAAGATGGCGAAGAAGACGAAGAAGATAATGATCAAGGTGAGTACGATGATGTCAATGAAGATGATGTTGTTGATGCATATATATATATATATTTGAACAACCTATATGTGGTTGTTGCTGGTGATGGTGTTCATGATGAACATGATCATTGCCATGCAGATTCTGATAATGGCAAAAAGAAGAAGATAATGATGATCATGATGATCATGATGATCATGATCAACATGACCATGGTGATTATCATGATTATGATGATGACATATAAGAAAATGTTGGTGCTTTTAGTGATGATGATAATGATGATGATGATGATGATGATGGTGGTGATGGTGATGATGACGACGATGACGACGATGACGACGACGATGATTTTTTTCGGCGCGGTCCAAAGCGATGTGTTTCTTTGCGTTCTAAAGCGAGGACCTTTCCCAACAACAGTATGCAAATGTGTGCAACCAAATTCTATCAAGTTCGAGGCAAAGTCAACTCGGCAAAATGCAATCAAGTTGCCATGAGGTGGCATCATGTCGCCAGGGAAGTTGCCTGGTAGGTTGGCAAGGAAGTTGCCAGCCATAACTTACTCAGCAGGACATGAACCCACAGGCTGAACACAGAAGGGGGGGAAGCACTTGATCACTTTTTGAGCGGCGCTTCGGCCGCGCTAACAAAGTAAAATTCAGTCAAAACTTCTATCAAGACCATGAAGCCCAATCCGCACCAACTTTTTCAAACTCAAGTTCATCAAGATGCAATGACATCAATCACTGTTTTGTTACTGGCTTTCGGAGCCTCCTCTGAGTTTCCAGACGGAAAGTGCGGCCCAGAGCGCCACGATGCGCAGCCCATTGCCATGTTTGGTGAGCAAACTGAGCGGCCATTGCTGGGTGTAAAGTGTCTTTAGGTAGGTCTAGATAATATATGATTATCCCCCCAGTGACAGAGCTGTGGATTAGTTGATACTTTTGGCCTCACTCTCTGGATGTTAAACCCACATCTGGGAAATGGAGATTTGATATGTGATCTCAAAGGTTCGGACCGGACCATGCAAGCAATTTGCGAATCAAACAAAAGATTTCCGAAAAGTTCTGATGTATGTTTCCCCGGAACTTACCAGCCTGGAGTTTTCCCAGACTTCCCAGTTTGGGTTTCTTCCGAGACTTCCCAGTCTGTTTTTTTTCCTTCCCAAGTAGAATTTCTTGGCCTGCAGTCTTCCAGATTGAGACCACCAACCTTCATTCCAAGCTGAGGTTTGTGGCAAAGAAAAATCAATTCAAACAATGACAATTTTACAGATTCATAATCATTATCTCATGTTTCATGTTTTGTTTGCCCGCCCTCAGCCCCCACTTCCACTAGTGAGTGTTGACCAAAATGGAGCCCCATTTTGTTTGCCATCCTAGAATGGAAGATACACCATGAATCAGTCACAAACCCTTTGGCATGATCCAAAAAGCTCAAATATCCATCCAAATAGATTAAATATGGTTAAATTTAACTTATATTAATGGTAGTCACTTTTTTTAAATCACCAACAATAATCATTCCGAAAAATATTCCCATATGTGCCATGGTCGTTATGACCATGGTACATGAAACCCTTGGCCTTTACCAGTCAGCAGCTGCAATGCCTCCTGTGCAGACCTCAGGAGATTGAGACAGGGCAGCCCTGGTGATTTTTGTTGACATGTTTGACACATGATATGAGACATAATCGGGATAACATGGGATAACCATCAATTATTATTTTGGTGCTTAAACCATTAACATGGGGATATGTAATTGATAAATGATGTTTAGCTTAGTTGATAATATCATAGGGGATTCGCTGGTGTCCCAAACATGGCTTTGCCAACCGGTGTCCTCAAACGTGGCTCGGGAATTCAAGCCATATTTGATCAGGTATGGGTTCAAAGGAAGAGCTTCCTGCGGCTGGCAAATGAAACAACACAGTCGACTGTTTAAAGCATGTTTTGGCCACCACTTCAACCCAATATTGTCGTGAAGCGGTTTCCGTGATTCACGATTCGCGAAACCACTTAGATCATAAACAGAATCTGCTGTGTTCTCCCAAAGCAAATTAAAGATTATTGAGGCAACAGTTACTTCCGAGCTTGGGCATCTCCAACAAAAAACAGGTGCTATAATCTGCTATGACACCAGCCATGGTATGCGAATGTACTTAGAACGGGATGCAGCCAACAATCTGATATGGCTGTGGAAAAAACATGGACCGTTCCTCAAGGTGGTCCTTTATGGACGCTAAATTCTTTGGGTATCTCAAGGAATGATCAAATTTTACTACCCAATTCATGGCCATTTATGGCCAATTATGACCATTAGAACGTGGGGAACCAGTTATTTTCTGAACTGACCAAGTTTGGGGTGCGGGGCTGAAGGTTGTCCAGCGAAACACAGTGCAACGATTGATGCAAACACCAAGAATGCTCCACGTATGAAAGAAAAAACAATGCCCAGAGAGGAAAAGCGACACTGATACTGTGAAACCTAGAGCTAGATGATGTGAAACCAACAGCAACTCATATCACGACTGCTGCAGCCATATCATCCAATTAACCCAACTTGACCCAATTCCGCGCCATTTCTCGAGCCAATAAGATCTGAAAACTGTTTCGCAGTTCCCCGAAACAAATTGTAAACCATGATTACAACGATTGAATACTATTGACATTCCCCATGTCCATCCATTTCCTAATTTACATCTTCCTACAATGTCGCCTACTTCGAAAACTCATCCATGGGAAGCCACAAATCCGAAAAGCCGGCCATTCACGGATCCCATCTGCCCCATCTGCCTGCGTGTCTTCGCTAATGCAATGCCATCAGCCAAGCTCAAGGGCGATGAGGTACAAAAGGTGGCCCAAATGAGGCAAAGTTCAGGGTCCCTTCTCCACGACTCCAGCCTTGGCCGCCGTGGATTGAAGGTTGGTGTGATTTGAAGAAATGTTCATATAGGGATTTTGGTGGAGGTTTTGGGGACTTTCATGAGATTTTCGTGGATGTTTGAAGATTTTGGTAGGACATTTTAGAATTTAAACGGATTTTAAAGATGGATTTTGGGATAATGTTCAGGGAAACTGCACGGGTGAAAATTAAGGGACAGTTCCAGCATGGTGATTTGAAGGTCCACTTTTGTGAGAGAAACTCATGGGCAATGGTTGACATATGGTTGACATGGACCCAAAAAAAAACTTGAGCTTTGTGATGACTAAGTTGAGGAATTGTCCGGGGAGAGGAGCACAAAATTCACTGACCTTTTCAACCATCATTCTGATTGCCGTTCTTCAGTTTAAGACACACATATATTATATTTATATATAATATACACACCAAGATGAATGCACCTGAATGGCATTGATTTGAATGCTTCTTGTCAAGACTGCGAAAGTTCTGCAGCGTTGAAATCGGTGACTTTGACCATGTTTGAGTTTGGCTCAAAATGCTGTGGGCCGGAGCATGAATGAACAACTCAGGGGCATGCAAGGATTTGATCCTGAGAGTGTCAGCACTATGCCTCAGAAGTCAACATACCCACTGTTTCATGATTCAACGACATGTTTGAACATTCCATCATCTACATGCTTTTAAAACAATATTGTTTTTCTGTTCCCCTTTCAATGTGCCAAGCTTTTGCCGGTGCTTTGGGGAATTCATAAAACCGAAACATCCCATCTGGATGCTGGGTCGCTCCGGCTGCCCTTGGCAACTTGGATCCCCTGGGGTTCCCCCACTTTGCCGCAAGTCCTTGTTCACATTGCTCAGAGTTTGCTTGGCATTGACCTGGTGCGCCAGGCGAAGCCAACAAATATAGAACAGAAAGAAAAACCTTTGGCCACAGCTAATTGAAACACTGCCTTCCAAACACTTTTTGCTGGATAATTCTATTATATCATATATCTATACTGGTCGGTGGTTTTATCTTTTAACCATCAAAAAAATATTAGTCAATGGGAAGGATGACATCCCATATATTATGGAAAAAACATGTTCCAAACGACCAACCAGTATAGTTCATAGGAGTCATGAAGCAACAAACAGAACTGGATTAGCCGTTCCCTGTCTCACCTGGAGGTCCTACGTGCCGCAGCAAACCCATGAGCACTCGCAACACCCTGGCACCCCACCCCACGCTGGAGCCAGAACGACGACGGGACGAGACGTTTCGGCGTTTCGGTGCCCGGGGTGACCGACTCTTCGTCAACTGGGACCTGGACACGTTGGAAGAAATCCTATCTACCAGGAGATTCTGAGATGCCACCAAGAGATGGTTGATGTTGACTGGAAGCTTCTGATTTTGGATTCGACTTTCTGGGTTGCTGAAGCTTGAGAAAGAATTGTTTGCCATTCTGCTTTTAATTTGAAATGCTGGCAAATTGTGTGTGAAAAATCGCCGAATCCGGATGTAGGAGTCCAAATCCATCCAAAACCTCCGCATAGGGAGCAGTCACTTCTTCTCGATTCCACATATCTGCAAGCCAGTGCACACTCAAAGTCCTGAAATCAAATGTTGAGATGTGATTGACACATTCAAACAGATTTAACAACTATTTATATGTGACAGGCGTATATCTTCCTAGAACATGACTCACTGGCCCACATGTTTTTTCCTTCGGCAGTTGGACGCTGTCAGAAAGCACCTGGGGCGTAGTGGAACTTTGGATGCTCCACTGTAGTGACATATGCATGAAATATACAGAGATATTGTCTGAAGATGTCTGAACAATTATAATTGTTTCCTCTGCGTCTTTATCTGATCTTCACACATACGTTGGTGCATACATGTGCTGTCTCTATTGTCTGTACATGGTTATGAGAGACATCAAAGATCTCTACAATCAAGAACTGCAAAGCCCAGATGTTACAAAAAGAGTGCATATATATTCAATGATACTTTTGGATAAGTTGTGATAAATCCACATATATAATTCCCCAACCTGAGAAGTTCCGCCGTTTATCATCATTGGATGCACACCATCTGGGTTTCGAGAGAATGACTCCAAAGCTGAGGAAAAGTCGTTAGGGCCCTATTGGGCCCTATTGGGCCCTATTGGCCCCTATGGGAAAATACATTATAGTGGGATTCCTGGTTACCCCAGGGTAAACTTAACATAGATGTAGGGCACCAATATTACCTTAGGAGGAAAATGATCTACAAATGGTCAGTTTTCCACATCTATGTTAATTACAGGAGAGTGTGTATGGTGGATGGAATTGATTGGGACTTATGGTTCACCAGCCATTATGAGAATCCAATATGGAAACATAGTGATTGATTGGTTCATGGGGATATTCGTAATGGAAAATCCAAAAATCCCTTCAGATAAACTAGATCACTGTTTCCGCACCAACCAACTGCTGCTTTTTTGTCTAGCTGCTCAGAATCAAACCATGAGTAGCAAGCAATATCCGGCTGAACGAACAAGAATTGTGGTGGACATACTGTGGATGGAATAAATCCTGGACCAGTTGGCATAGTCACCAATAGTTCTGCAGGATGGCTTGTCCATCCACAGCATGCAAAGATTTGCTAAATGGCCTCATATGTATTATGTATATATGATGTATGTATATATACAGTATATATATATATATATATTTAGACATTTCTTGGTGAAAGACGCCCCTGGTGCCACTGGATATGCATTGAACTGCCTGCATGACCCGGTAATTTAACATGGCTGGTAACCTGGTAAATCCCAACTGCGACTCGTGACTCCAATCATTGTACTGGTCATCTCTATTCCCCATACGTAATGCTGCTACTGGTATGTAAATGCCTGAGCACTCCAAGCACCCAAACAAAATGGCATAAGTAATAAGATTATGATGTAAAACGGCATTTAAGGGTACTTGGAGGGTCTAGGGGGCTTGAATTTACCCCTTGGTAATATCCCCATCAACATACCATCTCTATGTCTTGAAATTACCCCACCCCCCTCCTCGTATTGAAGCATGGAAATGTATGGTTTGAAATTGAACCATAAATGTATCAATAGAGAAACAATATAACATACGGATATGATATAAGTGCTTAAACTCAAACCATCAATTTGCATCATATATAGCCAATACAGTACATATATACATCATACATACCCAGGATCAACTTACCATCTAGTGATCCTACCAGCGCGCTTGAGTTGGTGAGGTATGCGAAGCTGCCCATTGACATTCTAAACATCCTTTGATAGTATTGTTGGTACCCTCTGGTAAACATACAAAAAGCTATTGAAACTGGCCATAGAAATAGTGGTATTTCCCATTCAATTTCCCATTCATAGCATGGTGATTTTCCCATCAGTTACGTAAACGTTTACCAGAGGGTAAGTAATATCTCACTATACATATGTAATCCAGGTCCATCCCATAGGCGGAAGATGCAAAAAATATTCCAACATATCCCCATGATAACAAAAATCCACATGTTGCCATATATTCCCATACTCCCTTTAAATTCTCACTAAAGCCTCATTAAATCCCCATACATGGCCATGACATTTGATGAATTTCCCAGAAATCCCATGTGATGGTCATGTTTTTTTGCCTCCCATCTCCCATATCTTCATGAAAATCCCAGAAAAAATCCCATATTCATATCATTTTTGCCATAAAACCCCATATTGCCATATTCTTTGCCCTGACTTCAAGAGGCATCCAGGCCTTCCCGGGTGGTTCATCCCGTTGGATAGCCTGGATCGGACAAGGCATATCCCAAGTGGTCTCTTATATATGATAGATATATATATATATATAACCATAGTTCATGAATTATTAAATATAGTTAATATAATAGGTAATGAAGCATTATGAATCAGGAAATATAGTGAATATTCCACAAGAATGGTTGATTTGTCATGATTTATAGGGGTAATGCCCCTTTGGAGTATGTGAAAATCATCAATTAGATAGAATATTGAACCAGATATATTGGGATACAGTCAGCCGGCAGATAGTAAATAATTATCATTTTTTGTTATATAGTGGGATATAAAAATGGAACACACATGGGATATGTAGCCAATAGTATTGGGCTTATAACTCGACACAGTCGGATACAACAAACCCACTTGAAATGAGGTATACCCCAATGTATTGCAATTTTCACAGGGTTGCTCCCAGCGTGGCAGATTCGTTAGTTTGGGGGAATGGGTAGATAGAGAGATTTAACGATATAATTACCAAGTGTTCCTCCTTGCGGCGATCATGTACCTATATTCACCTACCTGGAGTTGGAGCAACCCCTTTCTATGGGAACATGATGTTTGACTATTTTTTTTGGGGTACCCTAGTTTCAGACATACCAAAACGCAACATAATTAGTACAATTCAGCACTCAAAGTTCACACAAAACATCAAACAAAGTTTGGAGAGATGGGTATGGCATATAGTATAATATACGTCTGATTCTTTTTAAAATTCCGATTGTATAAATCCAATAAATACTCATAAACACTTGACATATGGGTATTGAATATAGCATGGTCAAGTATATTTATAAACTTAAAACTTTGTATTTATCCAATGAATTCTCAACTTCCAGTTTATTAAATCCCCAAAAAAAATCGCTTGCCACGCGTGGCCGGCGACCTGGCTCTCCAGTAGTGGACAGGTCCTGTCCACGTTCTTCAAGTCGCTCTGAAGGACCTGGAAATGGTCAGGTCTTCACCAAGAAAGATGGGGATTACAACAGCAACAAAAAAAAGGGACTTCACCGACTTCAGCAGCAAACATGTGAATCTATAGTTGACTTATACATAGCTAAGTTGGTTTGTATCTAGCTTAATTGATGTTAATTGTGGTTTGCAGTAGAATTTTGGAACTAGTTGATGTGGTTTATGAGCCAAGTGATGATTGGCAGGCTCCATCTTGTAAGTTACTTGGACAATTGGAACCCATAAGTACGCCCTATGGATCCAAATACCTTCTGGAGTGCTTGGGATGTAATTTGGGTTGCCAAGTACCTTCTTCAGAAGTGCTTTATACTTTGTCGTTCCTCCCATTTTAAGTGGCTTATAACCTCAGTTGGGGCAGTAGGCCAAGTAGGGTGAGTAGGGTTAGACCATTAGTCCACTTATACCCTCTGGTAAACAGCTCCATAACTACCAGGCCGCCCTCAATGACGATCCGTTGAGGGGAAATTAATGCAATGGAAAGTCCAGCAGAGTCCAGCAGAAACCAATGCATGTCTAGAGTCCGTATGTGGCAATGATAATGACGATCACCCCACTTTTTCATCTTCCAGGATGCCTTCTAACTGGTGCGAAGCACATTTGCATCAGTCAGGTTGTGAATATCCCAATAAAATGCGGAACCTTTGTTACGTACGCACATATCCAGAGTTTGAATTTCATTTATTTTTTTATGCCTGCTAGATCTATTCATGTTATTTGAATATCCTCATTTTGTTAAATATGTGTTGGACAGTCACCCGTTTAGTTTGCTTATCAAATATAACCAGTTCCATGGCTATTCAATGGATTGGTTTAAGGAAAAAATGAAAGGAACACATGGTTTTGATAATCAATTATAACGGGATTCTTGTACATGTTATCTTCAACAAATTATGTGAGCTATGTGAAATAATCAGACAGTATATCCCAATATGTTTTTTTTGTTTTTTGTTTTTTAAACAAACATCAAATATTGCAATTATAAAACCAATTATCCTAGTCAAATCCCCATGTGTTAATGGTTCAATCCATTTGTTTCATGGATCATTCTCCAACGTTTTGCCTTGGACGGTTTATAAACATCATGAACTTCGTATATACCATATTATATATATATACACCCTCTGGTTATTTAACATAGCTATGGACAATGGCCCATTTATGGATGATTCATGCTGATTTACCAATCAAAAATGGTGATTTTCCATGGCTGCGTTAAATAACCAGAGGGTATATTACCCTCTGGTAAATTAACATAGACCCTGGCAGTCATCGGGGTTGGAAGATTAGTTTCCATTAAAACTAGGCTATTTTCAGGGTCTATGTTAATTTACCAGAGGGTAACAAAAAATATATTATATATATATGCGATGCATAAGTCCCTATCTTTTCCAGGGCTTGGCGAAAAACTTTGGGACCCAGACCTCGAGCGGCGCAGTCCCGCCTGGCCTGAAGGCTCTGTTTTTTGGCGCGTGGCTGATGGAAATATGTAACTACTATGTTGGTAAAACAATATATAATCATATATATATATGATGATGATGTTGGATATAAAAAAAAAATGGTGGTAAACATTATATCTACTATGTTTAATGTTAGATATCACATATTAATGATATGTATAGACATTTTAAAAACAAAAGTGTTATTAACTACAATATAAAATGTTGGTTACACAAAATCACTATGTTGTGTTATTAACTATCATATACAATGTTGGTAAAACAATGCCATAAACCATCCCCAGAATCATCATTTTTATGGTTGGTATAAACCATTCCCAAATCGATTGTTTATTATTGTTTCAACGACATTATATATATATGTATATATATATATATATGTATTACATACTAATCCAAGATATATGATGAATAATCTACCATATGCTACATATATATAATGTGATATGTAACGTAGAATATATGATGCATGCGAGAAACAATGTAAGATACAATTTAAATATATTTAATCCCTATAATATAGTGTGTATGTCTATAATATGTATATATATATATAGATACAAACCAACATAACTGGTTGTATAAGACCGATCATAACACAGTTACATTATTGATATGTAGAAACAAACAATATTAACCAATATAGTATCATATATTTGGGATTGTTCAAAAATTAGTTTGAAACCATATTTTCTTGGGGACTGTATTCTCGAAAAACATTAGGAATAATGCGCCACCCCCTTTCGAAGTCGTGCAGTACACCATAGTGGATCTTGTGTCAAGTTGTAGAAACATGTAGAAACTGCCATGCGGATACACACTGGACCCCCAACAGAGCATGTCAATTTTTCAGCACTATAGCGAGCCCCATGGAGATAGAAAAGTTGGTCACCTGGAAATCATGAGCAAAACATCTTGGTCCAATCTTGTGGGGTACAGGCCAGGCATGTTGGGATTTATTCATTCCTGCAGGTGATTAGTGCTGGTCCCCATAACAGGATCATCATTTGGATATTTTCGGGATCCACCACAGATAGCCGCGTTGAGCGTCAAAGTACCCATCAACTCCCAGTTTTTGAGATGTGAATTCAGGGTCTACAGGTGTATCTAGAAACACATATGCTCCAATTGATGGATTCAAGAATGATGCTTAACTAGCAAAAAAACAAGTAATGTGGGTAAAACAATGATAAACCATCCCCCAAATCACCATAAATAGGTGGGATGCTTACCATTCCCAAATGGGTAGTTTATGACATTGCTCTACCCACATTACATGATCATCCAAAAACAAATTCTATGGCAATTTACCCTCTGGTTGTTTAACATAGCCATGGAAAATCACCATTTTTAATAGGTCAACCATCTATTTCTATGGATCATTTCCCATGGCTATGTGGCCGTGTCAAAACCTTGTACCCCTGGTGAACATCAAAATAGCTGGTAAATGGATCTTCATCCCCCTAAAAATGGTATCTATAGGTATTGATCCATAGCCATTTCCCATGGCTATGTTAAAACCACCAGAGGGTAACTAGCAGCCAAGTGTTGACTCAACGGACTCGGGGCTCGGATCTCCGCCTCAGGGGTCTCAAGTTCAAGCGATGCAACCGTTGAAAGCGTTCGCTCTGGAGCTCCAAACGTCGGTCCACCTGGAGCTCGGTCCCGAAACTCGACGCACATCACTTGGTGAACGTGTAGGATCAATGGGGAATATCTTTACAACCATAGATGGGTTTATCTATCAATATATAAATGGGGAATATCATTATCTATAAAGCTACTGGGTTTATAAACCAACTCATGAATGGAAGGAACGGTCGGTATATCTATAGCTAGTACATTAGTACATTTTTTTCTCGCATTTAAAATCGCCTGGTTGATACAGAAAACAAGCCATGATTAACATTTGTGGTTATCCTCTGGTAAACTAACATAGCTATGGATAATCACCATCTTTAATAGGTAAATCAACTATTTTTATGGGCCATTTTCAATGGCTATGTTAGTCATTAACAAAGGGTATCTACTGTAAATGTATCTAATGTGTTCTAATATTGTCCAGTTGGATCCGAAAACCGTAGATCAGAGGTTTATTCAACGATGGATATCCGATTGATGAGTGTTCAATAGCCTCTACTATCCCTGAAAATCCTGGTTCAGAACGAGATTCCCGTAGTGGAAGATGATCCTCCGCAATATATTGGATCTATCCATATATCCAATCTATAATCATATTGGGATACTAATATATAATCATATTTGGATACTAATATCTGGTAGATGATCTATAGATGAATCTTAATTTTAGTATCCCCAATATTAACATTCATCAACCATCTACAATCATTTAACCAACCGGAACACTGCGCATTTGGATTGGAGTGGTATGGCTGAAACAGGGGTAAACATGAACTTTGGTGCTTCAAGTTGGAACATGTGTAACCTATTCGACTAGTTCAGCGCAGCAGGTAATCTATGACAAAGAATAAACCATGTTCCTGCATTGAAAGAACGCAAACATGTCGAGATGTGAAAAAAACATGACGACACCACCACACCAGAGTTACTTTCCAGCAAGCTCACACGACTATATGACTATGTCAAATCAGCCTTTTAACAGGTTAATCATCGAACTAAATGGGCCATCTATACCATAGTCATGTTAGTTTACTGGAGGGGTAAACCCCACTATATGTCCATTATATTTCATTAAATCACATTTAATCATCATTCACTCACCATTAACTCACAATGACATCACCATACAAACACAATGAAATCACAATAAAAACGCCATTAGATCACCATAAAAACACAATGAAATCTCCATTTCTGTCAGTTTGTTCTGGCCACCCCTCCCGCCCTCCGCGCCTGGGGGTCTCTCTGCTCCGACGCAATGGCGCCAGGCTTGGTGTCGGACCAGAGCCGCTCCTCAGCTGAATCTCCCTAATTTCAGAGCGCCTCGGCATGTTATGAGACCTCGTTCTCCAGTGTCCCTGTATAGCAAAATTGCCAATTTTGAGGTATCTCCTAGACTACTTATATTTATTGTTATAATATGTATATACATATGTATATATATATATATGTATACATATATATATATGTATGTATACATATATATATATGTTTACATACTAATATGATCTATTAATATGGCTAAATCTCCAGTGAATCTCCCCCCAAATCTCCACATCATGGCCATGGCGCTGCTACAGCGAAGCCCCGCGGCCAGGCACGGCACAGAACGTTGGTGAAATCCATCCGCTCCGTCCACAGCGCGGCTTCACCACCCAGCAGCCTGGACGTTGCAAGGCGTGGCAGGGAAGGTCTAGCCATGGGACTTGTTGAATCGTTTTTACCAGCAAACATGGGGATAGAATATGATATGATATGATATGATAAATAAATATATATATGTATATGTATATATGTATAATTGTATGTATAATATAATATATATATATATATGTTTATATACGCATAATATTATGTATTATTATTATTATTGTTATTATATATATGTGTGTAAATGATTTAATTAATCTGAATCAATAGAATTTCGTTCATTCTGACTTATCGCCTTAGTGTATCTTAGTCAAGCACTGCCTGACAATTTACAAGAATTATCTACTGAGGACTGAACTAGCCAAGTAGCTAGTTTGCATTGACTGCTCGGAAATTCAAAACACTTTAAAGAACAAAAACCATGTATAGATACAAGGAGAGACACTGCAAGAATTTGTTTTTTTTGTGGAGAGCTGGTTGTGGTCTATATGTTTCCATGTATGACAACAAACCTAAGAACCTAATCCATTACTACCAAGTAGAACGTTGGCCCGGTTTCGTGATTTGTATAAGCTGTTATAGACGAATCAAGGGATAGCTTAACCCTCACGGTACCATCGGTAACTTGGTAATGTACCGTGTTTTTGGGTGTTTGTACACATTTTGATGAGACCCTGATGATCAAAGGTTAGAATATAACTGGTTGGTGGTTAGCCCCTTGAAAAATATGAAAGTCAGTTGGGATTATGATTCCCAATATATGGAAAATTAAACAATGTTCCAAACCACCAACCAAATAAGATATGATCAATCATCATAAGACGATCCAGCAGGGTGTACACCAGGGGTCGGCAACCCTGAGCCAATCCCATGGAGCCGAGTCCCTATCTGGCTGGTTTCACCAACAACGGTGAGTGTGCGGTCAACACAACTCCTGGATGGTTGAACATTGCCGTTTTAGCCAGCTAGACTGGAAACGATATAACCAAATTTCTCGGAACAACGGTGAGAGCGTAGACTATTCTTGGGACAACAACATTGTAACATAGGGAAGTCGAGATTTGCTCAAGAGCCCCCCACAAGCTGCCAAGTCTGATAAGGCCCTTCTTCAAAAGGAGAATTGATGTGTGAGGAAACAACGCTTTTTTCTTGACGCTTCTTGAATTCTCAGATTGGCATTTAACTACAGTACTTGGGTGCTTAAAGTTCCACTTAATCCCAACTTATGGCACTGTTTTTTTGTATGGAGACGGAGATACCGTAGGCTATAGCCATAACCACAACCCCAAGTAGAGCGCCCCGCTTCAAATGGATGGACATAGTTTTCCAGGAAACCTGGATCATCTTTCAGTCAACCGTCCGGGTAAAGTATCACTGGCGGCGCAAGGCATCGCGCCTCCTGTTGGACTGGTTCTGCAGCGGACCTTCATCAGCGGCGTGTTCGTAGAAATCCGTCCACCTTGGAAGTAAAACTGACATCTTTCCCGGCAGCCTCAACAATCAGTAGCAACATATAGTACCCATTGGTGCCCTAAGATAGCTGGTAACTGGTGAATGGATGCTGATAAGTGACCCTTCCTATCCTTCCGGGCATCAACTTTGAAGTTGGAAAATGGAAGAATGATCTTATATTCTTTATGACGGTGCTGATGGTGATAGTGATGATGGTCATAAGATCCTCCTCCTCATCTGAGGCTCCTTACTGCGAGGGCCAATCCAGGTACCAACCTGAACGCCACGCCCAGTGGCCAGTGGTATAGAAGGGCCGTTGCTGGCCAGGCACATGATTGTGTATCTCCATATCAGCTTGGGTAAATACGGTACCACCACAAACAAGCCAGGTTCATGATTGCTATATTGACTACTGTATTTGATGGCAATACCGGGCCCACGGTTTTCGAACAAACCCAAATATCTATGGATGAAATTGATCCCATGAAATCCGAAAAATAGTCCCATTCTGTCGCCATGACATTCCTAAGCCATATTAAACACCTTCTCAAAAACTGGTATGGGTCAAAAGCCCGGTATCCTGGGGTTTGGCCCAACATATCTGCTCATGGAAGTTCATCTCCCCCTTTTGACCCATGGTACATCATGGTTTTGACCCATCGCCCTAGGCCTGGCAGTAGAGAGTTGAGCCATGAAAAGCCATGGACAAATGCACCTTGAAATCCTATCCCATGATATACTGCTTGGTAGATGGCTGTACCTGCTATGCCTGATGATATTCCCGGAATATTCCCCAACATCAACAAACCAGGTACTAATTAGTCCCATTAAAACCCATTAAATCCACCAGCTCTGAATGGTAAAACCCCATGAAATAATTATCAAATCCCATTAAATCATCAAAACAATCCCATTAACCCACAGTCAAACATCATTCGATCACCATTTTGAATGGTAAACCCACCATTAAAATCCATTAAAACCACCAGCTTTTGCGCGCCAAGGCACAACTGCTTTGCACCGCAGAGTTCGATGACTTCGTCGCCAGGAAGGCAGAGGCATGGCCCAGCATGGAAGGAGGGCCCTGGAGCCATAGAAATTGTCTACTCTATGAGAATATATTGTGTATCTATATCTCTGTCATATTGCATATATATATATATATAGTATATATATATATATTTTAAGGGATATGATATATTTGAATAAACATGAATACACCAAAAGCAGTCCATCTCTGTATATATATATATATACATACATACACAATACATAAATGGGTAGGACATTGGACCTGGAGGCATAAGATTCTGGTCAAATATTGGGATATATTAAGGGAAACGATAGAATTTCACTAATAGTGGATACACTGAGCATCTTCAACTAGTTCTGCCTTCCAGTAAGTCTCAGGGTCTTCCAAGGAAAAGGATCTACATTCATAGTGGCTTCTCTATATCCATATGTATCGATCTAGGATATCTGACAAACTCACTAATAAGCAGCATCCTTTTGACAAAGTTCATGTGTTGGCGGATGAGAAAATTCACCACCGTGGGCCCAGGGGGAAAAGGCGTGTCACATGTGGACAGTAAGTTGTTGACCAAGCGGCAGAACCTTCCTTGCACATTTGCAAATGGAACTACCCTCTGGTAACTTCATACAGTTTGCCATGGAAGCTATGGCCTGTTTCGATGATTTACTCAGTGCTTTAAACCGACATTGGACCGCCACAGATCGGTGACTCACCGATGAGGTAGAACGATGTGTCATCGCTGGTTGGACAATTTCTGTGGCCCCAGGCATGATTGTTGGTTTAAGTTCAGTTCACCATTTAATTCTATAGATATACATAGATCTATCATAAATGAATTAACACACATAAATGAATTAACACACATAAATGAATTAACACACAGCATCGTATCATTAGATGAACTCTATAGCTGGGTGTTTATTCATTAGATCCCTCATAAGGAGTGTAAATAGACTCTACCCTGCTGTAAACTAAAATAGACGTGGAAAACCCACCGTTGGCAGATCATTTTCTGGTTCTGTTACCCATGGGTCTAAAAGACAGCTATCATGGTTTACCCTTGGATAAATCCACCATTTTTCTTTGCCAAATCCCAGTGTTTATTAGTGAAATCGCTCATTTTTTCCTGGTGAAATCCACTTTTTTGGTGGATCAAAGCCCAGAAGGACCCAGGGGACCCAGGGGGCCCAAGTCCGGGTGCTCGTCCTTGGGCTGGTACTTCTCCAGGGTAACACTGCCCCAGCACCTCCGGTGAGCAATGGGAAAATCCATGTGTAATCATATATGATATATATATATATATATATATCTCTCTCTATCCATCTATCTATCCATCTATCTATCCATCTATCTATCTATCCATCCATCCATCCATCTATCTATATATATATGTATGTATGTATGCGGGTCACTATAATATTATATTACCTATATAATTCAATATTTATATATATATATACTTATATATATATACTTATATATACATATATATATACATGCATAATAATATTTGCATGCACTACATTCCATTATAATTGTATATCAATACATATTATAGATTTCAATAGGGAATTCCTAAGCCATGAGAAGAGTACACATATACATTGTCAAACAAAATGATACGACTCGAAGCTCCTCCTGTCGTGCACATGTTAATGAACTTACCAGGGTGAATGTTTCACGGCACAACAACAGTTTCTGAAAACTTTCTGCGCCAAGCTGGTTGGTGGTTGAGCCACCCCTCTGGAAAATATGAAAGTCAGTTGGGATGATTATTCCCAATATATGGACACATGAAAAATGTTCCAAACCACCAACCAGAAACAGATCAATGGCATTGGTGTTGAAATCTTAGACCATTTAACTGAAAACTCCAATGCCATTCCCATACATCAAATCAAGGCGCAAACAGTGGACTTCCATCTTGGCCGATACCCCCGAATTGCCAAAACTAAATACAGCGGGAAAATATGGGAAAATCATGGAAACTCATATCCCGAAGTAAACTATCAAACTATCAAATGATATGAAATTTGGAGATTTTCCAACCTTTTCAAACAAGATATCAATAATCTCAACCACGGATTAAGCAACATCAACTCCTGTGCGGTTTCATAACAAATTTGGAGGAGTACCTTTGAAGTAGCCAATTATCTATGGGGAACCCTCTCATCTCGCATCATTGGTGCGCATCGCCCCTACGAGCTAAGACACTTCCACGGTTGCACAACAGCCTCAGCAGGTCCACCACACTTACCCTGGCTTCTAACAGGAGGGGAATTACCAAGGCCACTTACTGAGGTTAAGAAACAAGTCAGCGCCAAAGATCGGGGTTAACCATAACAAAAACGAGGGGTTAACTCTGGGGTCAACATCTATTTTTATTTCCAGATTAGGGAAGTGAACATCCGTAGACACCAGCTATTTTGGTGTGTACACCGGGGCATTTTTGTGTTGAAATTGATGCATTACCGAATTGAGCACCGAAGATGGAACCACAGACCTCAGTTGTGGATCCGGAAAAGTGACTGAAGTTGAGGTCCTTATACATATCCATGAACTGACCAGTCCATCCATAATATCCATACAAAGCTGTGAACTGAATCCCTCTGGCTCACACGTGTTTCCAGAACATAAAGCATCATAAAGCCCTCATATCAAAGGATATGTCATTCTTAACCGAATTGAAGAACTGTAGAGCAATTGAGTCTTGAAAGTTAAGTCTCGAGCGCTTTAGTTTCAAAGAGTTGTTTGCTTCCATCCAGATCGTCCGAGTCACTCAAAACACACAGAGGTGTGATGGAAATTACATCCTCCCAAGCAATATCAAGCAAATAACCTGAGTCTCAGAATCAGGGAAGGAAAATGATAAACATGATATTCTCTAAGCCAATATGCCAACTTGGGCTCCTGGGGACATGGAAAATCACAAAGCCCAGCACCAGGTGGATCACCTGAAAGTCACCTGAAAGTCAATATTAGTAGCTGAAACATGCTGAAACCCCTTGCTTAGATTCCGAAAACGACATATCCCATATTATGATGCGAAATTTCTAAACTCCCAATGCTGCACTCCCACAATTAACATCAACATCAGCATGTTTTCTTTCGTGGACCACTGCCCTGTTGTCATCCTGCCACCGAAAAACACCCGCCGGAAGTCGTATCCCTTGATCGAAAGAATCTTCCCAAAGCACCGGGCGTTTCCCCAGTCTTTTCACCTGGCTGCATCGAAAGTATTGGCTCGACGTGGCAGCGGAAAGCAGGTTGGTAACTGTCCTTGATCTATTTTTGGGATGTCGAACTTCACTTTCAAGATCTTTCAAGTACCTGTTGAAGATTACAAGTATATCCCCCTTTTTTTCCCAATAGTTGGGTGATGTTAGGACACCAAGCCCTGAAGACACTGATTTTTCGCCAGGTTTTGTTAAAGCACCACAGCTGGCACCACAGCTTTTTACCGGTATCCCAGGGAATCCAATGGAACACAACCAATGATATTCTGAGTATCATGGGATCAAAAACTGCCATGTAACAATTCCAGTGACCACCGAAAGGTATCACAAAAAAAAACTATGGGAGACCTATCAATGAAACATATCTATTCTGATTTTTATTGATGAACAAGGCCTTTGTATTTCAAACTATCTGGCTTTGCTTATTTGTCACCCCGGCAAAGCCCAAACAAATAGACACGTTACTCTGGTACTATTTAACGTAGACGTGGTGGCCAAAAAACATCAACAAACGTATTAGTACACATGCATCCTGATGGCCACGTTTAATTTGCAAAACAACGCTGTAAACGCATTTTTTCCTTAACGTAGACGTAGAGAGGTAAAATTTGTGCATTTCTCCATGGCTATGTTAAAGCTGCATTCTGGTGTGAAAAGAGATGTTGCAAAATCTGGTTGTGTTTTTCGTTTGATTCTCTGGATTTTGGAAATTAAACGTAGACATGCAGATCACTGTTTCGCAACGTCGAAAATGCCAACAATGAAAAAAACATGGCCGCGCACAGGTCATCCAACCGCTAGGTTTGTTTTCCTTTTTCACAGCTTCCCAAAGCTGTCTTTTATTGATGAACAAGGCCTTTGTATTTCAAACTATCTGGCTTTGCTTATTTGTCACCCCGGCAAAGCCCAAACAAATAGACACGTTACTCTGGTACTATTTAACGTAGACGTGGTGGCCAAAAAACATCAACAAACGTATTAGTACACATGCATCCTGATGGCCACGTTTAATTTGCAAAACAACGCTGTAAACGCATTTTTTCCTTAACGTAGACGTAGAGAGGTAAAATTTGTGCATTTCTCCATGGCTATGTTAAAGCTGCATTCTGGTGTGAAAAGAGATGTTGCAAAATCTGGTTGTGTTTTTCGTTTGATTCTCTGGATTTTGGAAATTAAACGTAGACATGCAGATCACTGTTTCGCAACGTCGAAAATGCCAACAATGAAAAAAACATGGCCGCGCACAGGTCATCCAACCGCTAGGTTTGTTTTCCTTTTTCACAGCTTCCCAAAGCTGTCTCGGTCTGCGCGCGTGACAAGCTTGCACATTGCCCTTGCAATGATTTCGCCTATCACTTCTTCAGAGCTTCATCGATTTTGGCTAAGTGAGATTTTCCCTCGCCAGTCTTCAAAAAGTGGATATGCCAAACATATCGGATCGCTGTGAGAAGCGCTTCGCGCTCAGAGCGAAGATTGGGTGACCATTTCGGTGCACGGTGAGTGTGCTTTACACCACCTTCTCGGGGGTAAGCTCCATGCCACTGGCTCGAAGCCGGATGGCACGAAATGAACACGCCTGCAATTGCAGGCAGAATGGTCAGGCCTTCGGCCTCCAAAGCCATAAACACAGGACGAGTCTGAAATGACTTCGGCCTTTCTGGTACCGATTCGGGCAAGAGAACTTTCATCATCCGGTCAGCTATGTCTGGTTCCTCAAGGTCTACCGCCTCATCATCACTGTAGGCCCAAGCAATTTCATCATTCAGGTGGTCGATGTTCTCAAAATCGTGGCCTGCCAGTGGCCACAAGGTCTATGTTAGCAGATCTTTGTGGAGGGTATTGACATTGTTGGTATCAAGCTCTTTAACGTAGCTATTAACCCTGGCCACTCTCCATATATATATAATGTATGTGTGTGTGTATTTGGTATGTCTTGGGTCTGTGTTAAACTACCTGATGCAAAAACAATGGATATATCAATTGTTTGAAGGGTCGATGGCGAACAAAATTGAAGCATTCCTGTGGAAATATCTGGGAAGAAAACTATAAAAACATCATACAATTCGTTAATAGTTTCATATGTCAGAAACTGTGTATATATAATTTCATCAGATCGATTTATGGGGGAAATTGTTTGGAAACCCGATTATACATGACCACTGGGAACATCCTGGTGACTTGGTTATGCGAAGCAACAGAACAATTTCAATGGTTCCCTCAACACATGCAATTCTAATATGTTACTTGATTAATGCCTATGTCTTCGGATAGGCCCCGGGGCTGTAACAGTGACCACAACTGGACAGCACAAACGGAGCTGCCAGATTTAGTTGTCAATCTTACTACTACCCCACTAACTAAGTTTATACTCACCATAAACCGCAGTGAAGCTAGTTGTAAACAAACTAAACAAACTCAGTACCGTCTGGTAACTTAACATAGACATAGCTATTGAGAATGGCACATTGATAGTGGATTTACCCATTGAAAATTGTGATTCTCCATAGCTATGTTAATTTACCAGAGGGTATGTCCATGTTTATTTCCTCAATGAAACGCCTGACCTGCAAATTCCTCCAGAGCAGCTTCAAGATCCTGGTTCTCCTCCATGCCGGCTGGAGCTGGATCATTTTGATCAGGCTCATCGCCTGAAGAATGGGCGCCAAAGAAACACAAAGGCTGAAACAACATATGTTGAAACCATTAACGTAGCCATGGAGACTCAGTTGTATCCCCAGTTAAAAGATACTAGACCATGGTGGTACTTTCATATCTTTGTTGATGTGGACGAATAACCATTTGTTGCATCCGTGTTCATTTAACAAAGCTATGGAACAGCACAATGTGCGGAATATATCGTAGTTTGTTAAACATTGGGGCCGTGCCAATAGCCATGTTAGGGTATGAGGGGAAGGAAATGTGTATGAAGTCGATGGCCTTCAATACCAGCAGCATCATCGGGGATTTCGTCCTCGAAATCATTCTCATCCTTCCTATTGTCACTGCTGTCATCTGGGAAGTCGACTTCATCCAAGTCTTGGTCATCTTCGTCCCAAGGTTGCCCCATGTGACCATAACCTTGCTCAAGCTCAGTTAGGTCGCTCTGAGCTTTACGTGAGGCCAAATGTAAACACCTCACAGGCCTCGGGTTCTTCTCATCAAAACCTAGATCGAGGGTCAACTTCACTGACTTGTCCTTGATCTTGATTCCAAGTGTCAGGATTTTGGGAGTTTGGTTTTGTTTTGACGCTTTCTTGAATGTTGGAACACCATGCTGCACCAGAATGTGCTTTTCAATCCATGCCGCGGTGGCCATTTGACCGGTTCTGGGGTTGAACACAATATACCTTTCAACATCCTCTAACGCTCTCAGTTTTTGGGACAGACTTTTGCTGGATTGCTTCTCTACTGCTGGGTCCTCTTCAAGAGCCTTTGCAAGGGAAGAACTGAGATTCCCAAGCGTGTGGCAGTGTTGCATCAAGGATCGCACCACCGCCCCTGCGGCTTCGTAGGGCAAGGCTTTCCAACTTCCCGCATTATCCTGCTAGCTGACCCTGGCTTGGTGATGTGTTTTGTTGTGCTACTGGAAGTCCCAACCATCCAAATCCAATTAACATAGCCTCTATGCTGTGTTTTTTCATTTGAAGAACATCCTTTTTTCCTCTTCAAGAATTCCATAACCAACAAAACATCCACTAGATTCGGGTAAGTGGATTTGGATATGACATTGTAGGGCCAAAAATCCCCTTAACATAGCCACTGGGCTACTACTTGTGGAGGTGCCCAGAACATTTGTTTCTCATTTGAAGCAAACACCGAATAGATTCAAGTAGGTGAATTTGGCAATAACATGGTATAGAGCCAGCAATCCCCTTAACATAGCCACTGCGCGGATATTGGTGTTCCCAGAAGGATTTGCTTTTCATTTACCAGGAACATCCTTTACC